GCGGGGCGGGGCGCGGGCTGATTGCTCTGTGACTCCTTTGGGCCTTAGAATAGTTCTTTGTAATTATAATCTTGATTAACTACACTTAATTAGATAAATCTTATACTGTGCTGTGTGAAAATGTATTCAATAGATACAATAAATTATGTTTATGCAATTTATATGTTAATAAATACTTACATAAAATGTTGGTACATTCTATGAAAAAACTCGTGGGAAAACCACCTCAGTATGCCCAGGTTTTCGTCTGGGGCAAAACATCAGGGGGAATTTTGGCTTTCTGCTTTTCAGGATGATTCCAAAATCTTTGTTTTTGTATGTAATCACTTTAAAAATACATTAAATAAGTTTGTAGGGATGAGGTGAGAGATGCTTATTTGTGAAAATCAACATTAATATTTTAGTGTCACATCATTCTGTCAGATAAATGCAGCAGAAATAAAACTAAATTGAAAAACTTTCTTTCTGGGATAAATTAATGTATTTTGGCAGATAAATAGATTGAAGAAAAGAATACGGGCCAGGCAGGTGGTGTGGTGGTGAAGGTGCTGGACTCCCACATGGTCAACTGCGATTTGAGTCCCAGACCTGACGGTTTGCTTTCTCACTTTCCTTTTCTCTCTCTCTCTGGCCAAATTTAAAATAATAATAAAAATAATAAAATTAAATAATTCTTTATAAAAGATAAAAGTATAAAGAAAAAAAGACAAAAAATTAAAGAATAAGGCAAGCCCCCCTAGTGTAGTAAAGTGCAGTACATAAGCAACCTGATTCCACATAGGCGACCTCTGTTTAAATCTTAGTTTGAAAAACATGCAGGGCACATGTGTGTGTGTACCCAGGATCTCAACAAAATGGAGAAATGGAGGAAGAAGGATTATGACATGATTACCCTCCATTAAGAAGGTACTTCCTTTCTCTTTCTCTCTCTCTCTCTCTCTCTCTCTGGAAAGTACATAGTGCCCTCTGGAAATTGAGGAGAGAAAAAAAAAGTAGAATACCCATAATATTATCATCTCAATAGAAATTGTGATAAAATTTTGACTATTATTTTTAAGAGTCAGAAATATGTGCATACATGTGAGTCTGAGTGGCTAAATAGGGAAAAATAATCATGTTACAACATACACACACACACACACATACAGGGATTTTCAAGCCACAGACTGGTATTCAAATGGAGTCAGCCAAGTGGTATCCAGCTCTCTATCAGGTATTTAATCCCTGCACTAAAGGCAGCCCTTTGAACTTTTTAAGACAATTTGTATATCCTTTATTGGAGTGGGACAAAAATGAAACTTGTAGTCAGAAAGAACCGATTTTAAATCCTTGCTCTCCCAGTTACTACTTAGGAGACCTTGAGAATTTCCATTTCTTCATTTGTAAAGGACAATATTCACTTGGCAAGACTGAGAATTAAATGAAATCCACAGTGATTCTCAAGATATAGTTCCTGATCCACAGCACTTGGGAATTTATTGTGAATGCAAATTTTTAGGGCCTTATGCAAAGCCTGGGGAGATTTTATGTACGTAGTTTAAGAACCTCTGAAACAGAGGACATAATACTTGATGAGTATTCAAGAATGTAGTTGTGTGGTATTTAAAACTTCTCTTCGTCCTATTCTTCACTGAACCTTAAGAAAGACTTATCTTGGGAACCAGCAGTTAGCGTAATGGCTATGTCGCTGGACTCCCATGTAGTCAACTGCGGTTCACGTCCCGGACCCGGTGGCTTAAAACTCACGCCGGGCGCGTGTGCGTGCGTGCCCAAGATCCCGAGAGGAGAATGGAGGAGAAGGGATTGTGGTGTGACCATCCCCCCTGGGGGGTGATTTCTTGCTTTCTGTCTCTATGTCTCTCTCTGTCTGGTGAGCGCACGTGCCCTGTAGTGAAAACCTCTCCAAAAAAAAAAAAAACAAACCGAAAGACTTATCTTTTATGATCCCCCAATTAGGTTCAATTCAATAGTTGTTCATTGAGCTGAAAGTCGGTGCCAGGCAGTGAGTTCACAGTCCACACCGAGAGATACCAGTCCCTTTCAGGGTCACATGTCTCAACATTAACCAAGAAGCCTCTTTTTCTCCCATAGACAGCTCCACAGATGGAAATGACTGAAGTTAAATCATTGCTTTAACGGATTCCTGTGGGCTGGCCCTCCAACAGTGATGCTTCTAGGATACCCTGTGATGAGTGGCAGTGAGCACCACAGCCCCTTCAGACGGCAAAAGCCACCAGGCACCGTAGGGATCACTTCATCCAGTCCCACTCATTTCCTGGGAAAGGGAACAGAGGCTACAGTGAAGGAGTCCTCAAAGGTAGCTGGTCCTTGGGACTGACACCCTGACTCACCAGAGTGGTATTTTGACAGATGACACCAGGCACTCTGACTGGCTCAGACTGACTGATTAGAAATAGCCTCCTATGCTTACCAGTGATCAAAGCAACAGAGACATGCAAGCAGAGCTCCAACAGATTTATTTCATTTCAAATGAAACCCATCATAAAGTACTAGATTATCCACTGTGGTCTATAAACAGATAAATATTCAGAGTAGTCCTATCTATTGTAGTAGCACAAGTCCAGGTATTAGAGTTCCAGGAAGATCTCTACAGTGAACCTGATTCCCCACAGGGGTCACAAAGAGCCCCTACCAATAGCATTTCAAACAGTGATTTGATCCGTGTAACAACTTCACATGTGTGCTTTTTATTTAAAATGGTTTTATGGGGACCAGCAGTGGTATGGTGGATAAGGCTCTGGATTTCTACATGGTCCACTGTGGTTCAAGTCCCAGACCCAGACTTGAAAAATCACACAGGGTACATGTGCATGCATGCCCAAAATCCCAACAGGAAAACAGAGGGGAGAGGATTGCAGCATGACCATCCCCCCAGAGGGTGATTTTTCACTTTCCCTCTCATTGTCTCTCTCTGGCACCCTATGGCAAGAACCTTAAAAAACAAACAAACAAACAAAAAACTTTTTAGGGATTTAAATAAATAAGTAAAAACACACTGAATCAATTCCTTGTGATCAATGAGTCATCATACTGTTACTAATACTCAGTGATGGCTTTTGGTCATACTATTGTGAGCAATGGAAAGGTGAAAGTTCCTGGTCAGTTTCTGATGCTCACAAATCTATGCAACAGGTGTGGATCCCTCCCAGCTGGGGCCACCACCCTAGTCTTGACCATAGTCATTTACTCATCTTGCCCACAGTGCTGCTGTGTGAAATACATAAGCCCTGGGAAATTCCCCGTGCCCTCTGACTTCCTGTAACCAAGTACAGAGGTCTGTGCATCTCTACTTAGCGCCCCTCTCTGGCTTGTGTTTCAGTTAGATTTCCCCTGCATGACTGTATTCTGGAAGGCCAAGCTGGGCTGCATCCTTGCCCTTTTTAAAATCCCCCATAGTGTTTCCATAGAACCTTAAGAGGACTCAAGATATTGTTAGCATTGTTTTGAATATTATCAGCTTTCTCCCCATATTTACGCAGATACAATCACAACAATAAAACTGGAATGAGGAAGAGAAAAACCAGTGGATGTTTATAAGCATAGAAAACAAATCAGGGAGCTGGTCCCATAGCCTAAGTGGTTAAGGAAACCAGATTTCACATGGCTACTCTCACAGTTCAACTCCTGGACCCAGTGGCTTGAAAACACACACCAAGAATACATGTGCATGCCTGCCCCAAATCCCAGCAGGGTGAAGACAATGAAGAGATCTTTTACTCCCATTCCCTGTGAGGATGCTTTCTCCCTCTCCCTCTCTCTCTGGCTAAGCACATGAGCACTCTGGTTTATAAACAACAATGAAAACAAAAACATCCAAAAAAAAAAAAAATCAGGTTAAAGCACTGTGAATACCATCCAGATGAATCATGACCTATGCTATTAATAGTAACAGCAAGGGCTGGCTGTGAGCTCCAACACACCACATCCTCGCCTTCCATTCTATCATTTCTTACTCCATACATGAGGAAACTAAGTTAGGGGAGAAGAAGTAATTCCCCTAACATGACCTGCCAGGTAGATCAAAGGTAGGACAAGGACACTAACTTGGTCTCTCTGACTTTAAATCTTCCTATTTTTTCAGGACCAGCAGACAGCATAGCAGTTATGCCTCTGGACTCCCACATGGCTGACCATGGTTCGAGACTCCGACCTGGTGACTTGAAATTCACACCAGATGTGTGTGTGTGTGTATGTCCAAGATCACAGGAGGAGAATGGAGGGGATCGTAGCATGGTCACCCCCAGGGGGGATGACTTCTCATTTTCCGTCTCAATGTCCCTGCGCACCCCCAACCCCACAATCGCATGTGCCCAAAGGCAAAAACCTCTACAAAACAACTCTCCAGTTTCAAAAATCAACAAAATGTAGGAGCTCAGGAACATTTTTGCAATTTAAATTTTATATTAAAAAGCAGCACTAGCCATAAGTGCCAGTTAGGGGACTCCCATGTGGCCCACCACAGTTTAAGTCCTGGACCTGGCAGCTTGCTTTCTCACTTTCTCTCTCCCCACCTTGCCCCCTCTCTATCCCTCTCTGGTCAAATTAAAATGAATAAATAAATAAATAAAGTTTGAAAAAGCAGCACCTAGCATATACCTTAGCACTGATTCAATTCAGTTACCAAACTTTCCTAAATACTAGGGGCAGTAATAACTTCTTAGTCACTGTAAGTTCCTTAACTGTCTTCTAAATCATCCCTCAAAATTAAATGATGTCAGATAGACTTTGCATTGGACATATTTTTTTAAAAAATTTTGCCAGAGTGTGTTCATGCTTGCTGTGGGGAGAGAAAGAGAGAAAGAGAGACAAAGAGAGAGAGAGAAAGAGGGAGAGTAAGAAAGCACTCCCCTCCACTCTCCTCTCCAATTGCAGCTGGTAATGCTGCAATTCCCGCTCCTCCATTTCGCCCTAGGATTTTGGGCACCAACACATATGCTCCTGGCTGTTTCTCAAGCTGCGGGTCCAGGACTCAGACTACGCAGTCAGTCAAGTGTGATCCAGCAGCTTTAACCACCATGCTACTGGCCGGCCCTGCATTGGATATATTTTATTGCTTTCCAATTTTTTGAAAAGTGGTGATTTAGGTTGAGTAAATTCAGGTGTTTAGAAACAGCACCACTCTGGACCAGCAGATGGCATAATGGTTACATCACTAGACTCCCATGTAGTCAACATCTGTTCAAGTCCTGGGCCAGGTGGCTTGAAACTCACACCACATGTGCGCATGCGTGCCCAAAATTCTCAGAGGAGAATAGAGGCGAAGAGATTGCAGCATGGCCATCCACCCTGGGGTGGACCCCCCCAGGGGGATTTCTTGCTTTCTCTCTGTCTCTCTCTGTCTCTTTGGCGAGTGCACATGCCCTATAGCAAAAGTCTCTAAAAAAAAAAAAAAAGCACCACTTGCAGGTTTAGAGACTGTTATCTTAAACAGTCATCTTAGAATTCTGCCTACCATATTATATAATTAATCAAAATCCTTTTTTAAAGAATTATTTATTTAGTTTATTTATTTATTTATTTATTTATTTCTCAAGAGAGAGAGAGAGAGAGAGAGAAAGAGGGTGAAAAAGCATGCTGCCAGGTCTGGGACTCGAACTACAGTCAACCAAGTGGGAGTTCAGTGCCATAACTACCACACCATCAGCCAGATCCCAAAATCCTTTTTAAAAATAAAGATAAAAGTAGATTTACTGTACCAACCAGTCTCTTCTGGAATTGTTAGAAGAAAATTTACAACTAATACATCTTTATCCAGTTCTTAGGACTGGGATCCAAAACCTTGTCTTTTCTATTAAAATACTGCGCTCCCTTGGTAGAAGCTGTCATCAAGTAATGGAATAAAACTAACAACGCTCCTTTGGAATAGAATTTATATTTCTGCCTAGAAATAATAGGGGCAGAACAATTAGCTCACTCACTGCAGACAGCGGTTTGCTTTAAAATATAAACAACACTCCCAGCTCAGGACTGAAATGACCAGAGAGCCTGCTTTATCATTTTATCAGAATGGCACAGTGACTAGAGATGGAGAAGAAAGAAGTGAACGAACAAACCAGCCCTTCCGATCTACACGTCCTTCTTTCCCATTTTGCCGGGCTGATTTCACTTAGTGACTCATGATGAGACAGGAAAACATGAGAATTATGTTCAGATGTTCAGGGGTTAGTAAATACTTCGTTTTTGAAACCATCTCATCCCCCAGGAACACTGGAGTTGCCCTCCATCCTCTTTCTCTTAGATTGGCATCTGAATAGCTGCCACAATTTTTCTCTAAGACAATAGGCTGCTAGGGTAAATATTCAAAAACAGTATTTCCAAGGAGGCAGTTTGCATTGGGACTGTCAGGGTTTCAGACAGATTCCCGCTGATTGCTTTCTGTCACTTCACCTCCCTCCTGCACTGGGCCCCTTGCTCGGCTGCGGGGGGTGGGCAGGAGCGTTGCAGTATTTTCCTGTAACCACAACCACTTAGAGCCAATCAAGACAGAAAGCGCAAACACGCCCGCCCGCTCCCGATTGCCTTTGCTCCGTTGTCCTCCAACCGCGGAGCCGACCGAGACGGAGCCGCTGTCATCTTCTTGACCCAGCTCAGCTGATCGGTTGCCGCCGCCGCCGCCGCCAGATTCCGGAGGCGAAGAACGCGACGCGTGAAGACATGGACGTGAATATCGCTCCGCTCCGCGCCTGGGACGATTTCTTCCCGGGCTCTGACCGCTTCGCCCGGCCGGACTTCAAGGACATTTCCAAATGGAACAACCGTGTGGTGAGCAATCTGCTCTACTACCAGACCAACTACCTGGTCGTGGCTGCCATGATGATTTCCGTCGTGGGGTAAGTGGGGTCCCCCACCTGGGGCACCGATCCCGGCCAGCGCGGCGGGGGCTCGAGTTCCAAGACACGGGATGCATAGACGCCCTACGCCCGCGCTCAGCGCCTGCCCCGCTGTTCTGCGAGCAGCCAAGCCAGTGGAAAAATGCTCTTAGGGCGAGGCCTCAGGATGAGGGTGGAGAGGTGTGTGTGTGGGGGGGTCCCCTTTCTCTTTCTGCGCCAGGAAATGCGAGGAAGCTTCTTGGGGCGAGAGGATGGGGGAAATTTTAAATTTGCCAGCCTCGGACAAGAACAATGACATTTTCTCGCCTGTGCCCGGTCAGCCTCTTCCTGGGGAGATACTTGTATTAAAAGATAAGAGCACTCGGCTTTTAAGAAAAATTAGAAAGTGGCGTAACTCTATTCTGGGGTTGGCGAGGGCAGGCGCCGCCCAGGGAAGCCGGGGCGCCAGGGTGTGGACCCGTGGTGGTGGTGAAAGGGCCTGAAGTGCGAGCTTTCTCTGCCTAGCACCAACCCCACTGTACAGGAAAGCTGAGCTCGGAGCAAGAGGGCGGGTGTCGCCTGGTGGCGCATCTCCTAGTGCGGGGCGAAGGCTGCCATGACTCTGGGAACCGGGCCCTCTGGCCATTTCTTACAGGACTTGCTAGATGTGGTCACGTTATCTGCACTCCCTAGTCTAGAGTCTCAGTATATCTGAAGCCTTTTCAATACCTGTTAGTTTATGTGCATTAAGATTATGCACAGACACACACACACACACACACCTGCTTCCTCAGAAACCATCTTGCCTTGTAGTTCACCCTTTCAGAACGTTTTCACTTTTGCAGGTGATTATCTCCTCCACTACCTTAAAAAGGAATCCCCAGACTTTATCAAGGACTTACTTCCTCATAAAGTGTCTGGTATTTTTATTTCACAGCCAACACAGAGGGAAAGCGCGCTTAGAGGGACAAGGAGAAATTCAAACGTGGAGGGTGTGGAAAAGGGAGCTTAGAGTGGTTTCTTAAATTGTTATGCTGTTAGTCGCCTTGTTTATTGAGCGACCTCTCTGTGCCAGGCCCCATGCCAAGCTCAGAGCACACCATGGTGAATCAGACTTGAATTCTGGCCCAGGAATATGTGGCAGTTGGTGAGAAGCTAAAAGAGCAAATATTAATACATATTCCAGAAGAGAGGGGGCCAGTCCAGTGTCAGGGTGTGTTCCATGGAAGGGCCCTGCCCTGTGTAGGACTGGGGTCAGTCCCACAGATCCTTCTTATGAGTTGCTTAAGGGATTGCTATCTCTGGGAGTGTCCTGGTGTACAAAGGGCACGATTTCCCAGTAGACACTGAGCTTGGCCGCCTGGGTAAGTTGTTAGTCAGGGTAAGGCAGGCCTTGGCTTGAGGTTACTGCCTTCTGAATGTTTCCATAGCTCTGTGCTTGAGGCTGCTAACCCGGAACACGAAGACATTTCTTTAAAACAAAACAAAAGTTAGTCACTGTCTCTTTCCAGAGCACATGTGCCCTGTGGTAAAAACTTGAAAAAAAAAAAAAAGTTAAATAGATTTGCATCTGTAGTATTCTTTTTTTTTTTTTTTTTCCTTCCAAGAAGTTAGCAGGCATCTTATCTGGTGATCTAGCCCTGGAGGGTACTTTGCTGAAGGAACTCCAAAAACTTAAAAAATGGATCAAGGTTGGACAGAAACCTATCAAATATACAGAGAAAAAGGCATTTTTCTAAAGAGATGTGCAGCCCAGTCCAGACACAGCCTTACTGCCTCAATGAAATTTCTTTTTCATGGTAAAGTCCGTGACCAGTCCGTGCCTAAATATAGTTCCTTCCTGTAGTGTCCTTGGCCTCTAACCAGAGAGTTTGGGGATGTTGCCCTTGTTGCCCTTTCAAGTGGGCGATGTTGATGGTCAGTGAAAATTTTTAAGAAAAGAATTAAAAAGTAACTATGAAGTTTTTTTGTATCTATATTTAATTTTATTTATTTATTTTTTAAATTTGCTATAGGGCATGTGTGCTCACTAGAGAGAGTCGGAGAGATTGAAAGAGAGAGAAAGCAAGGCACCAGGTCTGGGAGTCAAACTCTGGTCAACCATGTAGGAGTCCAACCCCTTGATCACCATGTCACTTGCCAGCCCCTACACCGTCTATGGTTTTATCCACAGATTGATTGTTTTTTCTTTCTTTGCAATAATAACAAAATAAACACTTTTTGAGAGCTCTGGGTACCAGGTATTTTGTTAAATACTTTACCTGCACTTTGTCATCTCTCTCAATAAATAAACTATTATCATTATTATTGTTGTTAAATCTGAAGCTCAGAGAGGTTAAGGGACTTGCTGAAAGTCACAGACCCCGGTGTGTGGCTTTTAACCACGGTGATCTTCCCAGGAGTCGTGCAGTTTACAACTGTAGTCTCTTAAAGTCAGAAGAAACCAAGTACCTTCGGAGTCAGGAAGCTCAGTTAATTCTTAAACATTTCTCATACTAGAGAGAACTATCCTCTCTGGTGGTCCTGGAAGAGGAACTGTTCAGAAGAATGCGAGAGGCTATGTATGTGGATCCTCTGCAGGCTTCCCGTAGTTTCTCACATTCTTTCATAGAGTGTCATAGAGTGTATGTGAAACGCTGGCCTGAATGTCAGCTGGGGAAAGGCCTGTGTTCCAAGAGTGTTCTTCAATGGAGTGTTGTCGGAGGGTTCCAGCATCAAGGACATTGGGACATTGTAGGAGTCATAGGATGGTGAAAACTGGTTTGGAGGGAATAGAGAGGGTCTGCTCAAGATTGCAAGAAGAGAGAAGACTCTGCAAATATCTTGTAGATCAGAAACACTGGGAGGACTGCCTATACCAAGATGGAGATTAAGAGATTAGGATGGAGATACATCTGTGTTTGAGGTCTTGGTCAGGCCGAGCTCAATGATCCCTGATTAAAAGTTTGGTCTTTGGGGCCAGCAGATGTGTGATGGTTAAGGTGCTAGACTTCTGCATGGTCGACTGCAGTTTAGTTCCAGACCTGGAGACTTGAAAATCATATTGGGCACATGCGCGCATGTGCTCAAAATCCCAAGGGGAGAATGGAGGAGAAGGGATTGTGGCATCGCCATTGCTCCCTAGGGAGTGATTTCTCACTTTCCCTCTCTGTGTCTTTTTCCTCCATGGTGGGTGGCACACTCCCTATGGCAAAAACAAACAAACAAAATAAATAAAATTTTAAAAATTAAAAAAATAAAATAATTGGTCTTCATCCTAAAAGCCTGATATATCAGGTGCACGATTTCCAGTCAGTAAGTCTACTCTGTCAGCCTTTTACATTGATTCTGGCTAAATTTCTTAGCTTAATAGCCCCACTTGAAGGCCCTTTTCATATCTTGTGGCTCTTAGAACAGTACAGAGACTGAGAGTTTACCCTGGGGCCAGCAGGTGGCATAGTGTTTAAGGCGCTGGACTCCCTCCCACCTGGCTGACTGCAGTTCATTCGAGTCCTGGACCTGGCCACTTGAAAATCACACCAGGCACGTGTGCATGCGTGGCCAAAATCCCAAGAGGAGAATGGAGGAGAAGGGATTGCAGCGTGGCCACAATCTTGAGGGGTGATCACTTTACTGGGTGATTTCTTACTTTGTCTCTCCAGCTAGAGTACACGCCCTATGGCAAAATAATTCTCCCCCTGTCCCTCCAAAAAAACCAGTTTAGCCTCAGGGCCACATTAAGTGATTTCTTGCTTTCTGTCTCTCCATTTCTCTCTTTCTGGAGCACATGTGCCCTATAGCAAAAAAATAAAAATAAAAATAAAAAAAGAGGAAGAAGAGAGCTCTCCCTTATGAACTCAGTATATCTTCCATTAGTCTCATTTCACAGATGAGGAAGTGAGAAATCACCCCTCAGGGGGATGGCCACACTGTAATCCCTTCTCCTCCATGCTCCTCTTGGGATCTTGGGCACATGCACCTGGTGTGAGTTTGAGCCACCGTGTCCAGGACTTGAACTGCGGTCAACCACAAGAGAGTCCAGCGACGCAGTCATTACACTAACTGATGGTCCCAATAAGGCAGAGCTCTTAAAACAGTTCCAAGTTTTTGCTCCACAAAATCTTACTTCTGTAAAATGTTTATCCTTGCTGGTGCTAACACAGAGATTACTGAGAAGCACAGACAGCATTGTTAGACCAGTGACTCCATCCACCCTAACTTCAGTCCCTAACTTCTTCACATGCTCTTGCTTTTCCTAGAAGACAGCTTTGGTACCACCTTGTCGGGGAAATGCTTTCCCATATCTTCCACTCCCCTAAGTTGATTGGGCCCCACTCCTTTGCCTGTATCTTTCTTGTTACTTACCCCATAGGCTTTTGAATTGTTCACGTCTTTCCACTCTGGATGTAGACTCTTTGAGGCCAAATCTGTAGATATAGTTTGCAATTAATTCTCTTTTTCTTGTTTTGTTTATTGCATATATCCCTGAGCCCTGCAATACAGATTATTGGTTGGCATGCATAGCATCGATAAGTGAATAGAAGATCTCAGCACGATCATGGGGGCATTTTTTTTTAAACTTTTTTGCCATAGTGGATGAGCAAGCACTCACTGGAGAGAGAGAGAAAGAGAAGGAAAGTGAGAAATCACCCCCCAGGGGAGATGGCCAGGCCAAAGTCCCTTCTTCCTTGTCCTCTTAGGATTTTAGGCATATAGGCACATGAGCCTGCTATGTTTTTCAACCCACTGGGTCCAGGACTCATACCATAGTCAGCCATGTGGGATCTGGCACCTTAACCACCATGCCACTTGCTAGCCCCACCCAGGGCCAACCTTTAACCTCCTGATGGAATACGTTATTTCAAAGCTTAGCCGAATGCTGCACATGGTAACAACATGTTCCTAAAATGATTCTAACTGGGTCGTTGCTGAAGGCACTATGCTATGTGTTGGTTAGGATTATTCTAACTGTGTAAAAATTCAATTTAAAGAAGTTACAGTTCGTCTTCACTAATTCATATGGTCCTTGTAAAATTTTGGTG